GATGTGCACAGACACACTAAAACGGTTGGGAATCTTCGATGAGGTGAGCATCATCTTGCGCAATACGAAGCTGACGCAACTCGCTTTCGAGGACGACGATCTCTACCCTGATCTGGTCTGCCAATGCCTCGCGTCTGCAAAATTGAGGTACGCAAATCCGAAGAAGCCAAAGGCCGATGAAGCGACTTTCACTTTCTTTGCTGAAGGGAAGCGCTATAGCATCGACATGGCAACGTTTTGCATGGCTTACGGGTTTCACGACGAGGACAAAGAGCTGCGCTTCCCGAGTAAGTTCGAGGTTGCCAACCAATTTTGGCAAACCATCGCCTCCGGCCACTACAAGTCAAACACGGCAAGCGTATCAGTCATTCGCCACCCAGCTGTTCGAATCTGTGCGAAAATCTTCAACAACATGCTGTTCAACCGCGATTCTGGGAATAAGGTAGCGCTGGATGTTTTGATGTTGCTTTACTTTGGTTGTGGTGATTTGGTTGCAGACTCTTACAGCGTCAGTGTCCCGGTCGAGCACAGTATCAACTTTGGCGTTCAGCTGGCGCAAACCATATGCGCAGTGCGGACCAAACCTTTTGGTAGCTCGCAGGTCATTTACATTGGGAGTCTCCTCACAGCGCTTTTCACTTTTGCTCATATTCCTCTTCGGTATGCTACAAAAGATGTGAGCCGAAGGAGAATGGACACAGCCCATCTGCTGACTTCAGGTTTTCTATGCGATGAGAACACCTACAGCTACAAAGGTGCTTACGGAGTTGCACAGCGCACGCCTCTCCCAAATCCTGCCATGACTGCGCTAAACACTGCAGCTAACCTGCGTTTCCTGATGGAGGTGCCCCTCTTAGCTGATGCAACACAAGACGGAGCACCCGCTCCGAAATCTGGAGCACCTGCTTCGAGTTCCGGAGCACCTGCTCGCGCCAGTTCTTCACGCTATCCACATTCACCGCAGGGAGATGAGGAGCTGCCTGACTACGTTTCAGCTGATGCTGGTGAGTTCGATTTAGCTCCTATCTCTGATGATCCTGATGATGCAGAGTTTCGGAGGTGGATGGTCGCGTCTACAAAGAAGAACAACAGCCTCATGAAGAGGTTGTTGCAGATGCTTACCAGTGGATGTCGTAGCAGAACAGCGACCGCAGCCAGTTCTCCGGAGAGGCACCCGAGACGCCGACGTCGCACTGGTGGATCTGGTAGTGAGAGCCCGGAGGACACCACCACTCACTGACCGCTAGTAACATCTCTCTACCACCATTGTATTATCCGCTTTGGTTTCTTTTCTTTTATTTGTTTCGACAAGATTTTTCTCTGCTCCTATTTGTACACCAGGGACGGTGTATAATAAGTTCGGGGGAGGATCTTGTCATCTTTTGTTTCTTGTGTTTTTCTTGAGTCAGTTTTAGTTTGTTTCTTTGAGTTATTTTGTTTCTTTGAGTCAGTTAGTTATATGAGTCAAGTCAAAGCTTGTGGGAATGAGGACCAATTCTATGATGATTTCAGACCATTTGTGAATCTTGACCATCTTCTTCTAGTGATTATTGCTGCAGAATCATCTAGATCGACTAATGGAAAATCCAAAGACAAAGCAGTAGTCTAGAGGAGCCCAAAATTCTTGACACATCCGATGAACCTGAGCTAATTTCTCAGCTCTTCATTTTCCTCATCGATCAGGTTAGTGCTCATAGGGCTTGACTCCTCATTCTTACCTGACAAATAAAGACCTGTGTGATAGATTTGGTATTCCTCTCTCATGTTCTAAGCATTGTTTCAGGCTGTTTCTAAAAAAAAAAAAATGATCAAAAGGCAGAAAAGATTGATATGATTTTCTTTTAGAAGTAAAGGGTTAGGAAAATTTCCAAGGATCCCATTATTTTACTTCTAAAGTGGAATGATCACACAAGGGATGGAAGCGAGGGGTAGGAAAATTTCCTGTGACCCCATTATTCGCCTACACCTTTGATATATGATGAGGGGACAAACCGGGGATTCGGTGGCAATCACCATCAATACTCGCGTCTTTGAACCTTGTTATATGTGCCGAAAAAAAAAAAAAAAAAAAAAAACGAAACAGCTTGAAAAGTGAATAAGTTCGGGGGAGAGGAAAGGCACTTTTGTGTAGTATGGTCAATTTGTTGAGGTATAAGTATGGGAACGAGTCTAGAAGGTCCTTAGCACTGGTTTTATCGATGAGACTCAGCGATGATGGGACATGGATGATGTTATGAAATTGAGGGACTAACTTGGAAAGCTGCAGCGTCTACGGAGAAGTACATGGAGGTTAGAGTTTTGATTGATTTTGCAGCAGATTGTCACATGCCTTGGTCAGGTTTACGGTCTTTTGAGTTTTGCGAGTTCCCAGCTTTATCCAGTCATTCTTTTGGAGTTGAATTTGAGTTTGTTTGAGGACAAACAAGGATTCAAGTTCGGGGGAGTTGATGAGTGGAGATTTTGACTCATTCTAACTTGTGTTTACTAATTGTTTTAGGAGTTTTTGGAGTCTTTTCAGGAAGTTTCAGGTGACTTAGAGGCCTTATCAAAGGATTGGAGTGTTTAGGAGGCATTGGAGCAAAAAGAGATGAATTTGAGCAATAAGGAGCTATTTCACACGTTTTTGGAGAAATCATCCCCGGAGCACCTGCTCCCGGTTTGGACCCTTCGTAGAGCACCTGCTCCAGACGGGAGAAAAATAAGGAAATCGACTTTTACCTAATTTTGGGAGGAGAAAGAGAATAAAAAGCCCACAGCCGCCTGTGTTTTAGAATCACGTTTTTCTACAGACTTTCTACGCTTTCTTTTTACAATTTCCTGAACCATAGAGTTTTTACTTGTAAGCTTTTGGGAGAAGAAATCTGCTACACTTTGAGAAGAATTCTGAACCCTATTATCTCTTCTGCGATTTTAATTCATGAATTCCTTTCCATCTGTTTCTGTGTTTCTTTTCTCCATGTCTGAGTAGATCTCTTAGCTAGATTAAAGCGTTCAAAGGATTTCATGAGTTAGAGGATTAGATGCAAATAGGGCTTGATATCTATTGTCTTCACCATTGTTAGACTTAATGCTTAGGTTGAATTGATCACTCAATCTGCGATTTTAGGTCAATCTATTCATCAAAAGTGTAATAGGTTGCTAGAATAAACATTGGTGAGCGATTTGTCCTTAGCCAACGACAGTTGAAGTTAAGGCAAATTGTGAACAGATCAAACCTGCTAGCTAATGCTTGTCTGCAATTTTCTAGGTTCAAACGACAGTTTAGGATTTAGGTTGTTAGACAAAGTTATCGAGATCACGACAGTGGATCGATAAGCTTTTCTGTTTGAGTTCGAGACTTGCATTACACTTGTGCCCTGAATAGTCATCTGGTTCTTATCTCTGAAATTCCTGCGAATTGCTTTGGTCTAGTGCTTGTTTTAATTTGAATTTAAATCGTTGTTTGCCATTCTGTTACTTTTTAGTTTTCAAAACAAACCATCTTTCGTCTTAGCTTTAATTCAATCCTCACAAATTCATAGAGTAACATTGGTCCTCTGGATTTCGAATCCTTTATATTACAACTACATCACTGTTCTATTGCAGTAGAAACTAGGAGCATATCTAGTGAGAACCAGAAGTCTACCTTTTTAGATTTCTTTCTGAAGTCTACTTCAATTTTCGGAAATTTCTAATTTTTTTCTTTTTTTTTTCAATTTTAGTCAAACACAAAAATGACCTCTACGTTTTTGGTCAAAATACAAAAGTAACTTAAATTAGACTTCTTGGACAGACTTCAATAGTAGACGTCACAAAATAACAACAATTAAAAAGTCAAAATACGGTCAACTACAAAAATAACCTCTTTTTCTCCGTAAACTTCTTGCGACTTCAAACGAAGTCTACTACGTTTTTTTTTTGTTTTCAAAGGATATCGAGTAGATTTCAGAAGAATCTACTAAAGTCTACTGGTTACAAATTTTAAAAAGTCAATTGCAAAACTAACCTTATGTTAAATGAAGTCTACTAGACTTTCGCGATACAGATATAGATATTACCAAAATTGAAGTGTATCATTACCTATATCGGTTTTGAGTTCGTTTTTAGGTCTCTCATGCACCCGGAACTCTGAATTTCACAAAAAAACAACACATGTCTCGATTAAGCTGAAATCACTAAAAATGTATAACTTTTGACATTGTAACTCAGCCCAGAATTTTTGGAGAAGAAATTAGGAAAGAATAAGGAAGGTTATGAGTGTATGAGCTCTCATATTAACTTATTACAGCTTTAAAATCGGTTGAGAAGCATTTATTCCATTTTTGGGTTGTTCATGGTGGTTGAAGATATTGAAGAAGATGGCATTATCGTAATAAAAAGGGTTTTAGAAGGTCCAAGGAGACTTTAACCAATATTTTAAAAATCAAAATAATGGGTTTATAATGGCATTTTCGTTAATAGCTTGAAGAGAGAGATAGAATTATGACGGAAGTTGGAGAGAGAAAAAGAAGTTATTTTGGTGTTGGACTTTTTTTTATTGAGGTTAATCTAAAACTCTCCCAACATTTAAACATAAATGTATCATTAAAAATATTACAATATGATAAATGTATAACATATCGCAGTAGTATTTAAACAATATGTATCCAATGAGCCCTTTAATTAATAGCAATTAATATTACAAAATTTTCAATAAACAAAATCTCAAAAGAGATTATAACTAAAATTAAGACCAGTATTTGTTTCTTATAACGAAAATTAACAATCAATAACTATAATTATTTCTATTACTAGTATTTGCCCCGTGCTACGCGCGGGTTTTTTGTTGTTATAATATATTTTAATTTTATAGTGTTCATAATATTCATATTAATATCATTATCAATACTATTTTTTCTGAAAGATTAATACAATAAAATATATAGTAAGTTGCCAAATTAACAATGAATATAGTAGTATTTCAGAAAATCATACTAATTTGAACACTTAATTTATGAAATATCACTTTAATAAAGGTAAACCGTTAAAGCTGCAATTTATGAAATATCACTTTAATAAAGATATTGCCTCTTCAATATCACTGGCACTGCATTGGACTTGTTCTGTGTTCTCCTTACCATCAACCGTTAAAGCTGCAAAATTTCTAAACAAAATTACAAATCTCATATTCAGTACGATTCACCGTAATAAAAACCTTTTTGATGGAAGGGAAAAAAAGGTAAAGGACATACATAGTTGATGAAAATTTGGCTTTCATAGTAAGCTTGAGTACACATCATCGGACTTTGAAGTTGTCTTTTTGGTGTTCCTGCATTTACCTCTAGCAATCAGTTCAGTACCTTGCAAACACTACGATTTAATCTCAGAATCAACATTGGAAGCAAAATCCAACCCCAAAATACTAAGAACAGATGGTTCACAATCTAAACCCGAGACTTATTGACAACGAATAACCCAGAAACCCAAAACCAAAAAGTCGAGAATTCACTCAATATCTAGAAAAATAGATTAACTATACTTGGAAAGACAGAACACTTACGACTGGAACTTTAAAATCAAACTCAAAAATAGGAAAAATTTAAAAAGGAGAGACGTTCAGAAACGGAGATTGAGAGATAGGAGAAAGCGGGAAGTACTATTGTAGATTCCGGGGAAGTGGTGCCGCCGTCGATCTGCAAGATAAGTTCCGCTGTCGATTTGGGGGTTTTTTTTTTACTTTCCACTATGGGCGTAGTTAATCTAGAGATTAAGATAGCGTATGAACTATGAACATTAAGTGAAATAGAAAGAAACGTAAATTACCAAATGAACTGAAATCAACAGATTAAAGATGATTTGACGTAAAGAGATAGTATGCAGACTTGATCCTAATATGTAGCCAAAATAATCGATCATAAAGCTGATTTTCCTTCGCTTTCATTTTCAATATAGCAAAAATATTATCACAGACCTGTCGCCTTGACAATTGGAGAATGGAGATGAACTGACATTTCGACTCTATATCGATAATTGTTGAACAACAAATCATCACAAAGTCCACCCTCAAAACTTTTGAATCCGCAGCTACTCATTAAATCATTGATTTCAGAGTGGATTTTATCTGCAAAATTAGGAATTGGAGAGGTATTATGAGATGAGAATAAGAAACATAGGAGCTTATGTGATTGAAGTAATGAAAAGTCTTTGATAACCAAAAGTAGGAAGTGAGATGTGAAATCAAATAAACAAAAAAAAGTTGGAAGAGAGAGCGTCTTTGTAGAAGTAAAAGCTTGTCGTTTGAACTTGATGTTTTGTTTCCAATGTATTGCAGATGGGAGAGAGATGAATCGTTAGAAGGCCTCATTGGAGAAAAGGAGGCGAGTAAATTAGATGAAGTTGTCTATTCATATTTTTGGTATTTTCTGCGAATTTAACGGCAACGATAAAGATGATCGAAGGGGTGGAGATTTTTAGTTGGGCTGGATTTGGGCCTAAATTTAATGGACTGATGTGTTTTCTACTTTTTGGGTTGCAATACCTCTGTTGGATCATAATTATGGTTTTGGTGATGAGCTTAATGATGTGGCAAGTTTTAATGATTTTATTGGATGATTATTTTTCCTATTTTTTGCTGACGTGGACAGCCTTAAAAGCCAGGAAAGTAAACTCTTTTATATAAAGGAGATACTCCCTCCGTTTCACAAAGAGTGTCGTTTTAAGGTTTTATTTTTGTTTCACAAAGATTGTCGTTTTATATTTTCAATGCAGAATTTTAAACAATATTCCAATTTTGACTTTATTGATTTAATGTATTAATTAGAAAAAAAAAGTTATTTAATGCATTAATGAAGGGCAAAGTAGTATTTAATGCATTAATGAGAAAGAAAAAAAAAAGATATATACGATCACATGTTGAGATAGATGTCGAGGTTTTATAAGAGTGATCCTCCATGGGTTGCTGCGTCAATATAAGAAACTAATAAATATTTGTATTTTTCGATCATATGGTGGGACGACTAGGGTTTATGTTATTATGATTGTAGTCTTCTGCGGATTGTTCTATCAAAATATGTAAAATATTTTAGACTAATGCAAGATGACTTAAATTGACGGAGTTGTCCATTTCAATTGTCAATGGAATGAGTCTCCATTTCCATGAGGCATCTCAGCAAAAACCCAGTAAACGGCTACCAATGAGAAAATTCCACACTTTAAAATATTCAAATTAATAAGATTCGTATATTCTAACCATTTGCAAATAAAAATTCCAGATACGCGGTGACGTTATATATGTAAATGACTAATTCCATTGGATTAAGAACCAATTTTTTTGACGTTTGCCACCTAGTAACGTAAGATATAATTGTATGTTAAATGACTAACTCCATTGGATTAAGTCACTTCAATTTGTTGTTGTTGTCAACAACTCAATTCAAGTAATAATATACTTTGTTATAACCAAAAAAAAAGACAGTATGAGGCCATTTTGTTCTTTGGTGACCTAAAAGGCTAAAAGCCTAAAACTATATTTTGGAATGAGTCCCGTTCCATTCTCTGAAGTAGGGAGACATTCGGTATTACATATTTTAGAGAAAAGTTAGTTAAATGGATATAATTAATACATATTATTTAGGGAAATTTACACACTTGTTTTAATAAGCATATCTACACACATTCTATAGTCACTTACAAGCTAAAATTTATCCTACTCTCAAGTCTCAAGTTTATATACTACTTCAGAGGTCTCGTCAGTTTGTGAAAGTAAAAAAGAACACTGGAGCAACGATCTCGTCCGTTCCTTGTGTAAATAATAATGCTCATTATTTGTAAAACAATTTGATTGGTCATTTTTCATATCTTTTTCATTTATTATTACCACATCCTCCCCTTTTCACTTTTATTTTTTTCGTTTTACATGTGTTGAGCACCACAAAATATTATTTTTTAAAAACTTTTTGAAGTGCAATTATTTTATATATATTTTGATACCTATTTTACTACGTTGAAATTACATATGGATCAAAATCTAAGAAACTTGAAATACCTCGGTTTCTGAATAAATAATGGTGCATGAAAAGAACTCAAAAAATGTGTTTGGCTACATATGTCACCAATACACATATATTTTCGGTCACTTATTTATATAGAACTCAAAATTAAGAATGTTTGAACTGAAGCAATTTAAAGATATATGGTTGACTTACCAGGAAACCATGTGAGTGAGGACAAACATGAGAAAGACCATGTGGAGTTTTATAGAGTCAAAGTTGGGGTTTACGAATGGTGGCGGTCAATGAGTTACAAAACTAGAGGTGGATCATACATGATACATCTGGATGATGAAAGTATTCGAGGGACATGAAACTATCCGGGTACATAGAGGTATTCACGGATATGGAGGTCTTCAGGTACATGTGGGACATGTTTTTTAGACTGAGTTCATGTAGGTAAATTCTGTAAGCTGCGCTTATTTAATCTTAAAATGACCAAAAATGATTAGAGAACTAAGAAACAATTTTAATCCATTTAGTATGTTCGAGTAAGAATGACGAAATCTTTTGGCAATGAATAAAAACAAAGAAATGAATAAAATGTATCAAATTAAACCTCAAATGAATGAAAAGAAAAACCTTAAATGGAATGAAAAACAAAGGGAAAACTAGATTCTAATCCTCAAACTCCTATTCTCCATATAATTTTAGAATGTGGGTAGACTCAAAATCAATATCGCAAAGTTTTTCTTCATATAAGATATGAAAAAAATCTTAATGTAACTGTCTAGTTAACTTCATTCAAACCATATATTCTAAATGATTCTTCTTCCCCAAATTTTGCGTTCATAGCCAAGAGGAGACTGGAAGGGTATACAATGTTAGAGGAGTTTCGGGACACAAAATAATAACATAAGAACCTTTTGGGAGAAGGTAACAGTATTTCTACATAATTCCTTCTAGGATTAATTTTGTTAAAAGTAAAATTACATAGTTTAGTTATTTGAAAATAAGAAAAAAAACTTTGTTGTATATACGGTCTAATTAACACCTGTTTTTTTGTTCTAAAAAAATGATGTTTGTTTTCAAATAAATGATGTTTTCAGTTTTCAATACAAAATTCAATAATTTTTAATTTTTTTTGATTATTTCCATTCTACATTTGTTTTTTATTGGTTGAAATGCGTTTAAATAGATAATAAACTATGTTTGTATTATGAAAAAAAAACTTAATTGGATGTTTTTGTTACTTTGACAACAAATCATATATCTCAAGCCTCCAACTTAACACGTTAAAATTTTATTAATTACTTGTGATATTTTATAATATTAGCAGTTCAGTTATTGTATACACTCGAAGACGGCCGACTCGTTCTTATATTCCTCCCGCTCGGCACGTCGCCACTTATTATCATCGAAATCTACAACTCTTGAAAATATATTTTGAGACCAAGTGGTGTAGTCTATAGAGTTCTTGATTTTGAATTTGTCTTCAGAAATAGATTATTAACGTTGTAAGAACTTGTCTCCAAGAATAATATATATACGATAGTTGTAGTCTTGAGGAAGTACGTGGTCGATGGAATTGGCTAGAGATATAAATAACCGACCGTCTAATCATAGGATATGTTGCAAATCGAGCGAATAATTCAATCTAAGTAAAAGCAAATTCCACAAACAAAATTCAAGATGGTGACAACTCTTTCCTCTTCTGACGTCAAAGTAGGACCAGAAGTGTTCATCAATTTCCGAGGAGATGAGCTGCGTAAGTCCTTCATCTCTCATCTCTATTCTAGATTGAGAAGTGAAGGGATCAACGCTTTTATAGACACTGATGAAGGCGCTGGCCAAGAACTCGAAAACCTTTTCAAAAGGATCGAGGAGTCGAAGATTGCGCTGGCGGTTTTATCGAGTAGGTACACGGAGTCACATTGGTGTTTGCAGGAGCTAGTTAAGATCAAGGAATGTAGCATGAAAAGTGAAGGATGCAATAACAATTTATTTGTCATTCCAATCTTCTACAAGCTGGAGACATCCACGGTAAGGGAGCTTACAGGAAAGTTTGGTCTTAATCTCTGGGATCTCTGGAGGGTACCCGGTCACGATCGTAATCGAGACAATCGGATTGTTAAGTGGAACGAAGCATTGGAGAATGTTCTCGGCAAAAAGGCCTTGATATTGACAGAAACCGGGTATGTATTTACTTTGCAATGTTGTATTTAGTACTACATTCTTAGGTAGAATTGAAATGAAGGAAGACGAGCACGCTAGTCCTGTTAGAAAATTATTCCTAGGGAATTATTATATATTTTTAGTATCGTTAAATGGATATATTTGGCGTTAGAAATAGCTAGAATATTCTTTACAGTTTTTATACACAGGAAGTAGAAGATACGAAAACAAAGTAGAAGATACGAAAAAGTTATATTCTATGACAAAAAAAGGAAAAAAAAAGTTTTATAGTCAATTCAAAAAGATGCTTTATTACTCTAGAAATGGAAGCTATATAGTATCATTTAAATTCTATGCAAAAAGAAAAAAAAAGTTTTATAGTCAATTCAAAAAGATGATAACACGTGTTATCAATCATGTCCATATTTTATTATCAAAACAAAACAAAAAGAATAACTTTTAAAGGTTAAACTAGATTCTAACCCCGTGCATCCGCACGGAAATATTTTTTATAGTTTAACGAATTTTAGTAATATAATTTGTGTTTTTGAGTTTAGATATAATTATTTTTATAAATATATTTTTTAATAAGTGAAAATATTGATTTTTGTGTTTAGATATATTTTTATAGTATTAAAATTAATTATGATTATAAAAATATAATTTTAACCCGTCCGCTGATAGTAATTCAAAATGAACTATTATAAAAACATAATTTTAACTTTTCTGTTCGTATTACCGTATAATATAAATATTTGTTAAAAGTTTGAGATGTATTAACAGTATTATTTAGTATTATAGTTTTCTAAAATTTAATCAACAAAGGGAGTGTACAACTGGTTTTTCAAACCACATTATAGTATATGCAATAATTTTTAATTTTGTATGTTTTTATTTTGTATGAAAATATATTTTTAATATATATGTATAATTCAAAATTAGTGATTTTAGTTAACAAAATATTTTTAACCCGATTTTTATATATATTTTTAGTTCTATAAATTTTAAAAAATATATTTTTAATATTTAAATTATACATTTGAATTTTACTTATTATTTTATTATTAATTTGTAAATAAATCATAATCGTAAATATATTATATAAGCAATATAAATATCATATCATTTACATCATTATAAATATTTTATATTTCAAATATGACCATTATTTTTTATATGTGAATTATTTTTTTCAAAAATTCTAAATATTTTTGATAAAAATGTTTAATAGTATAGAAATTATTTAAATTAGAATATTTAAATTAAATCTAAATTAATATCTGCTTTATTATTTTTAATCAAATCAATCAAATCTAAATTACCTATATTTAAGGAATTCTAAAAATATTTAAATTAATAACTAATTTTCGAAATTAAATATAAATAATTATTAAAACTATTTTTAAACATTTAAAAAAAATTAGGAGTGTTTGGAAGCAAGTACTAAATCAGAAGCACATTTAATATAATATTATCGGATGAGTTAAAATTATATTTTTATAATCATAATTAATTTTAATACTATAAAAATATATCTAAACACAAAAATCAATATTTTCACTTATTAAAAAAATATTTATAAAAATAATTATATCTAAACTCAAAAACACAAATTATATTACAAAATTCGTAAACAATAAAAAATATTCCCGTGCGGATGCACGGGGTTAGAATCTAGTTCCTCTTTATTCCTTAAACATACAGCATTTACTAGTAATTTTGGAATTGAAATTCATCTTTCTTCATACTTTTAATTTAAAGAGATTAAAAGTATTCTTCATCAAATTTGGAGAGAAACAATATATAACAAGTATATTTACAAATTAAAAAAGAAAACAGAAAAATTTAGTTAAATAATTGAAGATAAATTGCATATAATTTAAATAATACTAGAATTTAAGTTAGCTAGTTCGTTTCCGCGCACATGAAAAACAAATTTCATTTTTTTTTTGATATTGTGCTAAATTATAATCTGAAACAAAAACAAAATTCTAAAAAAACTTATATTAATGGATCTCTATTATAAAATGGAAGAAGTAATATATAAACTTTCTACTGTTGATTATCTATTTCAGAAAAGAAAAAATAAATTGTATTTTTTAAATGCGAACTACTAAAATTGAAAAGTAAAGAAAGAGAAGAAAAAAAACACAAAAAGATAGATATAAATCATAAAATCTATATAAGATTCATATTATATAAATTTATAAGAATAACAATTTAGTACCATGAGTTTGATAATTTTTTTATAAAGAATCCAACAAATTCTGAATTTGTTTTTAAAATATTGGTTTTATCAATTACATTAAGTTTTTTATTATATAACATTTAAAATTTGTTTTTGGAATTCTCTTATTTATTTAGATTAATTTCAAATTTTTTATTGGGATTCTTGTAAATAACATAATTTGTTGATAAATTTCTAATTTAGAATGTAATTATACGGAATATGGATGGTACATTGGTTTGAAAAATAAGCGTCCCTCATACCTTTTTTTTTTGTTTACAGTAAGGAGGACGATTTCTTGTCAACAATCGTCACACATGTTAAGAATGCCCTAGGCGCAATTTCCTCAAAAAGAGGAAAAAACCCTAAACCACATAATGGGGGAGGAGTAAACCCTAAGCCCAAAAAATGTCTTACCATATCATCAAACAATACTGAACCAGGGGAACAACGCCTAAAGGAACTGGAAGGAAAGTTGGATGTTCATTGCAATGATAACGATACTCGTATTCTTGGACTCGTCGGGATGCCCGGAATCGGCAAAACCTATCTTGCCAAGAAACTCTTCGACAAGCTTAAGAACCGGATCATTTATTGTGTGTTCATCCAGTTCGAGCGTCAGAAGTCCAAGGAGCAGGGAGCAGAGTGGCTACAGAAGAGGCTTGTGGAAGGTTTACTAGATCAAGATGATCTCAAATTACGATGCGCGGATCAAAATGCAGTTGAGTCTTGGATGAAGCGCCTTGGAAAATATAAGATCGTGGTTATTCTCGATAATGTTATTGACCGGGAACAAATTGATGAGGTTATTAGGAACCAGGACTGGATTAAGAAAGGGAGCAGGATCGTCATCACAACACGAGACAAGTCAATCCTCGAGGGACTGGCTTGCGATCTCTATGAGGTCCCTGAGTTGAATGAGAGAGAGGGCTTGGAGCTATTTAGAGCTCAAATGTGTACTACTCTCGAGGGAAGTTTCATGGAACTGTCTAGAAAGTTCGTGGACTTTTCTGGAGGTAACCCATTAGCTCTCAAGGCATTTGGTGAGGAGCTTTGTGGGAAAGACAAGAGTCACTGGGAAGCAAGACTTGGAACACTCACACAATGTTCCAACCAGAATATTGGAAGACAGTTGAGAATCTGTTTTAATGAACTAAACGAGCAGCAGAAAGATGCGTTTCTTGACATAGCCAATTTCTTTAGATCACAAGATGAGCACTACATCAGAAGTTTACTCGATTCTTCTGGCCCTGAATATGTCGGAGCTAGGAACGAACTTAGCGATCTTTTAGATAAGTTCTTAATTAGACTATCTGATGGTCGAGTTGAGATGCATGATCTTCTAATTACAATGGCCAAGGAGCTTGCAAAAACAAGTGGAGGGAAATATTGGCTATTTCCTTCAAGATTTGCAGGGTCTACTAATACGTTGAAAAACAAAGAGGTGAGACAACTTCTATTGCAAGACTTTATTTATTGCAAGAGTTTCATATGTACTTGAAATAACACTTCTATTGATTATTTGATCAACAGGGAAAGGAGAAAGTTAGAGGTATTATCTTAGACATGTCCAAAATGGAAGAAAAGCCCTTACACAACCAAGCGTTTGTTGGTATGAGAAGTCTACGATACCTGAAAATCTACTATTCTCTCGGTCCTAAGCACCGTGAAGTTGAGTGCAAATTAAATTTACCAGATGGAATTGAGTTTCCAGAAGATAATATTGTACGATATCTCGACTGGGTGAATTTTCCAGGGAATGAACTTCCATCAGACTTTGAACCCAAGAATCTTATCGATCTTAGGTTGCCTTACAGCAAGATTACTAGAGTATGGAACTGTGCTAAGGTTTGTATCTCTCTAATCAATCGTATACTAGATTGGTCTTGCATATATTTTGACTGATGGTATTTAATTCTGCTTGGTCGTCACAGGTTGCACCGAACCTGAAATGGGTCGATTTAAGTCACTCGAGTAACTTAAGTTCCATTTTAGGTCTATCAGATGCCCCAAATCTTTTGAGATTAAACCTTGAAGGCTGCAAGAGTTTGAAAGGGCTACCTGAGGAGATGCAAAAGATGAAGAATCTTGTTTTCCTAAACCTAAGAGGATGCACAAGTCTCTTGTCTCTGCCAAAGATTACTATGGATTCTCTAAAAACTCTCATTCTCAGCGACTGCTCAAAGTTTCACACGTTTGAGGTGATTTCAGGAAGTCTTGAAACTCTGTACTTAAACGGCACTGCAATAGATGGACTTCCTCCTGCCATTGGTAATCTCCACGGACTAATCTTCTTGAATTTGAAGGACTGCAAATATCTTGCGACTCTTCCTGATTTTATTTGGAAGCTGAGATCTCTGCAAGAACTCAAACTCTCTCGTTGTTCAAGGCTCAATAGTTTCTCGATTGATAAGGAGAACATGGTAAAGTTGCGGGTCTTACTGCTAGACGAAACATCAATAGCAGAGATACCAGCCAACATTACCTATTTATCTTCACTGCGACGTCTATGCTTAAGCAGAAATGATACAATCTGCAGCATACAATTTGACATGGATGAACTACTCCATCTCAAGTGGCTCGAGTTAAAGTGTTGTAAGAATCTCACATCTCTTTCGAGGCTTCCACCGAAACTCCAATGCTTAAATGCACATGATTGTACTTCACTAAGAACGCTTGAAAGTCCAGTGACTCTTCTTATGCCAACAGAGCAGATTCATTCCACCTTCATTTTCACTAACTGTCACGAACTGGAACAAACCTCAAAAAATGCTATCATATCTTACTTTCAGAAGAAAAGCAAGTTGATGTCAGATGATCGATATAATCAGGTAATTTGAATCCTCTTTTTCTTGTGTTCTCTATTATCTATCCACATTTTATGATGGCATTACTTTAATTTTTTGCAGGATTTTGTCTTCAAAGCCTTGATCAGTACTTGCTTTCCTGGATGTGAAGTACCTGCATGGTTTAACCACAAAGCATTGGGATCAGTCTTAGAGCTGGAGCTTCCTCAAGGTTGGAATGAAGAAAGAATCACTGGGATAGCTCTATCTGTTGTAGTCTCGTTCAACGGGTGCACAGACCAAAACAACAGTCTCCAAGTGAAATGTACCTGTGAGTTTACTAATGTCTCTTTGAGCTCGGAAAGTTTCATTGTTGGTGGTTGGTCCGAACCAGACGAAGAGCCACATACGGTTAAGTCTGAACATGTCTTCATTGGCTACACCACTTGGTTCAACATCAAGAAACGTCAACAACATTCATCAGTCGATTCTGTTTCTCTTAGATTTGAAGTGACAAATGGTACAAGCACGGTTGCAGAATGCGAGGTGATGAAGTGTGGCTTCTCTTTGGTTTATGAGCCGGAAGAAGCTGAGAACACATCTTGCGAGGAAAATTCAAGGATGGATAAAAGCAGCTCTTTTACAGTAGATAATGATGATTGCCCTGGTGAATCCTACTCTGATAATACGCCAACCACAGCGGACTCTAAGAAGACAAATAGTTTCCTGGATAGTTTATTACGTAGAAGAGCGCAATGATCTACGTAAAAATTTTATGACGGCTAAATGTTTTGGTTTTAAGCCTAAGTAAGATTCACAGTCCGAATTGAACAAAGGCAAACCAACAATATCATCTTCCTCTAGTTGTCTTGTTTTATCAATAGTTAACAACGTTTTCACCTAGTTTCCTTGAAATATTTAGCGAAATTAATTTTTAGGAAGTTTAAAACATTTGAGCAACTCAAGAGTATTCAACACACAAGTAGGTTTTTTATTTTATTTTGTAATCTCAGTAGTCCTATGTATCATCATTAGGTTCCAGCTCTCCTAACGTGGATAACATTCAGTTTTGGTTTCTCTTAAACCGCCTTCTAGATCCAGTCCTTTGATATTTTCTATAATCTCTGTACGTTTGATTCTTGTGCAACCAGAGAGATTCAAAAGTTGAAGATTCTTTAGCCGATCATTGTGTGGGATGCTCTCCAAGCTTGTGCAACCTTGAAGGTCGATTTGCTCAAGACTACAAGCTTTCAAGAGTTCATCAACTTCAACTAGTTTCTGAGAATGGCTAAGATTTACTATCTTCAACTTTGCCAAACTCTGTAAAACAAAACAAAACATATAAACAGCTCAATTAATGCAAAGAAAAGACATGACGTTCATGGGAGTTTAGCCTTACCTTGGTTCCTCCCCATAGACTATGAAGCTGACTATAAGTCTGGCTTCTCTTTGGTTAATGAGCCTGAAGAATCTGAGACAAATAGCTCCTATGCAGAAGATGATTGCCCCTTTCAAGCCAACTCCGATGCTACTCCAACTACAGCGGACTATAAAAGGTTTAATAGTATCTTCGAATTTTTTAGAAAAGAGCGATGATCTGCAAAATGTATATGTGAGCAACATGTTTTGCTATTAAGCCCAAGACTAGAGATCCTCATAATATTCTCTCTTTCGTTCCTTTTTTTCTCGGCTCGGTTCAATTATTCTTTACGAACTAGATTTGAGTTTTGAGAATATTTACAAGGGGTCGTTTATTTTTATATATAAATCAAATATATACAATCAAAGAAAAAGTAACGCAAAAAGATAACCGTAAACAAGAGCCAGGTATATTAGGGCTGGTTCAGGAAACCCCAAACCCTCCCAATCTCCCAAAAAGTTCCAAAGCCAACCAAAAACCCAAGACACTACTATACACATGAGATAACTCTTATATATACTAATTCTAGTTTTAACTAACGTGATGACTTGACATGTAGATTTGATGAAATCTCTCATTAAACATACCAAATCAACATTGTGAGTCGATGGAAGCTCGATATCTACTTCTTCTTCATAGGGGACTATCGACATAGATGTGTTGTTTTCGACGATAAAACATTAAGATTCTTGGCCGCTACTCGGTCCATCGCGAATATTCTTCAATAATACCAGTTTCTTGTCTCTCATTGTGGCATGTGCACGGATAGTTGATGGGTTCCCGTTAGCACATTCAACCTCTTTCACTGCAAACTCCAAAATATTCTTATCTGTCACGTCTTTGCCAAAGGCACATCTTGTGAATAGCTTCAAAGCATCTTCTTGGTTTAGGCCTTGAAGCTCATAAACCTCATTAACATGGCACTCCTTAAGAACTTGTTCATCTCTTGAGGTTATGATAATCAAACTCCCTGGACCAAATCCCCCACCAAGAAACAACTCCGCGTCTTTAGCATTTTGCACATCATCTAGAACAATGAGAACTCTTTTTCGACGGTGGCTTGGCTTTGAAACAGAACGGCTTTGGTCATACTCTTCCATTGGAGTCTCTTCCAAGTATTCCTCAGACAAAGGTTCAAGACTCTTTTTCACTATATTCTTTGTGAAAATCTTTGATGAAGCGAGAAACATCATATCCACCGGAGATTCGGCGAAAGACGGCTCTGGCTAGAGTTGTCTTGCCAATTCCAGGCTCACCGGAAATGCCTATACTGCGGAGGCCCCATGGTTGCTTGCAAAGCAGGTTTTCTATAGCCAGCTGCCGCCTGTAAATCCCAATCTCTTCCGTTGGATAGAGCTTCTCAAACACATCTTTTGCGATTTCTTCCATAAATTTAGATTCACTACAAAAAAAGAAAATGTTTATGTAAATGATCCCTCATAGCTTCTTCAACTATGGATATATATAAAAAAAAATTGTGGAATATATATATAAACACAGATCGATTCTTCTATTAAATTAATTATATATTTGACTCAAATTCTGAATATTTAAAATAATTACTTGTAATAATTATTTAAAATTTTTTAATAATTCAATTTCTTTATTACTTTTAGAGGGCGATTTTTTAGTACAATTTTTTGTTTTATCAACTCTATTGGTAGTTGTCTATAAAATACCTCAATAGATGGAGGCCTCGTACATGATGTTTTTTTTTTTAATATTTCTAATAGGTTTAAATTTAATCGACCATACAAGTTTGAGGTATGTGAATGTAATTTATTATATAACCAAATTTGCTTATTGAATGACACAATCTATAAAAACTATTTTTTTCCAGTTAACAATTTGATTATTTTGAAATAAAAATCTTTAATACTTCACGAAAAACAAGACAAGATAGTTTACAAAATTATTACTTTTCTCATAATCTTGTCAAATTTTTAATTCAAAATATTATTCTCATTTCTAACTTGTAATTTGTTAATACTAGTTACCATTCATTATATTAAAACCCATATAGTTCAACCACCTAGAATGATGTTGTTTCTGGCTCTTATGGATCCGCCACAACTATTATCAATGTTTTATTTTTGGTTTATGGTTGCTAATTAACTTGAAAATAAACTATTATCATTCCCAAGGGCGGATGTAGGTGTATAGGAGCGGGGTCAAGTGCCCCCTACTCTTTTTATTTTTTTCTTTAATATTTAAGCATTTTCGGTTATAATAAATTTAATTTAGTGGTAAAAATATTTTTTTTCCCCAACTAAATTTTTTTCTAGCTCCGCCCAAGAATTATGTGTCGAACTTCCTGATTTTAAGGAAAACTATGTCAACCATTTTTTATTTTACTAAATATATACATATATACCTTTGTTCATCGTCATATACATGACCTTGTAATACATCCGATTCTAGTAGAACACGTGGCCACGTAGGCACCTGATTTACGGAGCTCGATGACTTGAGCACCGCAATTTGCTGCTTCACGGACGATACGGTAACTCCATGGAGCACCGGAACCACCATAAGGTCTTTCTTGTTGAGATGGTTCACGAGATTCGCCGGCATAGAGAACTTGTAGTTACTCGAGAAAACCACTACAAGAACCCTAATTTGCTCGAAGAAACAATCCTTCTCATCGTCAAGCTCATAGATCCCATGGCGTTTGAAAGTAGCTTTGAGGTAGTTGATGAAGGAGGAGATTGATGAATCATTATCGTCGAAACTAATATAAACAGTTTGTTTAGCTTCGTTGTTTTTGTTAATGTCCATATATATTGATTTGGGACATCAGAAGGCAAAAAAAAGGTTTTTTTGTTTGTGTGCTGTCGAAATTCTAAGTTTTGACACTCGCTTTTTGTTGGAATGGACCATAGCTTAGTTAAGTTTTTATATATAAAAGCTAAGCAACAACAAATATTACAATAATGATTTTAGATGTTGCTTGTAAGCCACGTGTGGTGGCTTAAATATAGTAGAATACGAAAAGTAGGCGGTGGAAAATGTCCGAGAAGTTTCATTTGATAGTTTTGGTTTTTATTTTACCGCTACTTGTACAGTTGACTTTTTCTAATTGGTTAAAAGTATAAACTAATATGTTCTTGAACCGGATTCGTTTACGGTACGCCGTGTAACCGGAAGTTTGAAATTGAGCGCGACAATCATTTTTATAAGCTCAATAAACAAACCTTATCACCTTGGCCTTTCGATGTGGGACAGAAGTAGCAGACATGGGATACGTATTTAGATATACAGATATCCGGACTTCGTATATTCGCTTAAATATTAAAATATACGTAGATATCCGCAGATATCCGAATCCAAATAAAAAAAAATTAAAAAACTAAAATATTAAAATAATAATAAAATTAATTTTTATTTAATATTTTGTAAAAAAATAATTATAATAAAACATATTTTAATTTATTTTAATTATTTTCATATATAAAATCTTAATATGTTACAAAATTATTAATAAAAATAATTTAATGATATATTTAGAAATTAAAGATTTGGATAGGGATATCCAGACTTTATAATTTAACTATCCGGATCCAGATCCGATTTTGACGGAGATGATATTTTACTATCTGGATCCGGATTTAACCCTTTCAGATATTCAGATTTTTGGAGCGGATCGGATCGGAGAGGATCCCGAATTTCTCAGATACCGAATAATAATTTCAGCCCTAAACAGAAGTATGACTGACCTACTTCTTTTCTGTGATCATTATGTCGGTCAAATTCTTTCTTATTTCTCTTCTCATTACAAAAACAAACATTTGAACAAAAAAAACAAATATTTTCGTATATGTCGTGGCTTCAATTTTTAAAAGTAAATCCAAATTAATCGTATATATATCATATAAATAATATTTCTTCTGTTTCACAACATGTTAGGTTTTTAGAAAAAAATGTGTTTCAAATACCACAAGTCGACAGCTCGACTGGAAAGGTACTTTAGGGTAATTCAAAAGTCACAAGATCGAGTAATAGCTAGGATGTGTAATAATATTAAAGATTGGCCCGAGCTTAGGGTATGTACAGGTTTTGGCACAAAACCTCCTAATTATATATTAAAAAAGTGTGTTTCAAATTATATGATGTTTTTTAATTTTCAATGCAAAATTAGTTATCACTAGTTGAATTGTAATTAGATAAATAATAAACGATGTTCTAGTTTAAAAAAAAAACAGGGTGTGTACAAAAACTTACAACACATCTATTTTAAAACAAAATGAGTACTATATTATTTTTACGTTATGCTTGTGTAATAGAATAATACTGTGAGACTCCGCTCTTTTCTTCTCTTCCGGGAACCAGACGGGCCGACTATCAAATTCATGAGACCCATATCCCACCTTTCATCTGGATTGGCTATCAACAACTCTAAACGCTTTAACCGCCCCTCCCAGTGAGCCCAACGTCCTCTCTAGGCCCATTGGCCCAACGTCCTCTCTTCTAGGCATATTAGCTTACTACTGTCCGACAGTCGGTGCGTTGGTCCGGGAGGCTCGTAAGACTTGTCTATTATCCCTGCAATCACCACGTGATTTTTCCTCACTCACACGGTACCACGGACCACTTCCAAGGAATCATTCTCGAATTCTCTCTAACTCAACTACATCCTAAGACGCCACCCGGGTCAGAGCCGGTTGGCTAACCTTGGCTTTGATACCAATTGTGAGACTTCGTTCCCTTCTTCCCTTCTGGGAACCAGACGGGCCGGGTATCAAACCCATAAGACTCTGATCCCGTCTTTCATCTGGATTGGCTATTGATGCGGTGCTGAGTGTTTCAACTACGTGAGGGAACAAGTTTTACCCTTAACAAAACAAATGAAAGCCGCAAGTGCACAGCTAATCAGTTGTAGTATTTAGGGATCGAATCCACAGAGATTTGTGTGTCTGGTATTCTTCTACGGTTTTTAACTTTATGTCTAGACTAAATTAAGGTTGATTGTTTTTCTAGAATTAAACTAAAGCAAAAGAAAGCAAATAAATCTATCCTAAAAAACAGGTAAAGAAATCGAATGAAAGGCAATAGAACAAGTAAATATCAAATGAAAGACTAATAAGGCAAGTAAATATCGAATGAAAGGTAAATAAAGCAAGTAAATATTGAACTAAGGAAATTGAAATGCAGGTCTAAGAAAGCAAGTAAAAATCGATGGATTGTAAACTATGGCTAAAAACGCTGAGCTTTCGGAAACTCTAAGGGATCATAATCGGTTTTAACATTAAGGTAGATAGATTGGGATTGACGGATAACAATATATGGGTTCTAGAGCTAGAGTACGGCGGTATGACTACGTCACTGTCGTGATCATAACCAACTGTTTCTCGCAACCCTGACCAGTAGGTTTCCACTCTGGCCCTGGAAGGGAGAGAACACAAGAGCTGCATAAGACTCGTCAATACGGAAAAATCGCCTGTTTCATTCTAGGGCTGATACTTAATGAAAACTTTCGCAACACTAACTATCTAGATCAGATACTAGGTGATCAATCAAGCATACATGCAATAAGAACAAGAATAAACAGAGAACAGGTCGAAATCCCAGATCTATAAACCTAGATGTCTTAATCGATTATGAGAGCCCCTTTCGGGAACCCTAAGCCCAACTTGGGATCTACTCAGACATGGCTGAGTTTGACATCATCATTGGTTTTAATAAAAGTAATGAAAAACAGTAAAGAAAAGAGATAAAGAAAGCTTCTCTACTGAAGAACTCGGACTTGAACAATCTTCTACAAAAATCTCATAAAAACGGCTAAAGGAAAAGGGTTTCTGTAATGTATGAAGGGTTGTTGCTAAAAACGACCTAAATGACATGTATTTATAGTTTCCAATACTCCATGATCTCTAGGGTTCCAGAATTGAGGCTGGGAATGACTTTGGGCTTCAGATGAGTGGGCTTTAAGTCGGAGCTTGAATGCCGCGGTCGGGAGTGTTGTGACCGCGGCAACTGTCTTGTTGGCCGCGGTTGGGAAGCTTCTGACCGCGGCAAATAGCTTGTTGGTCCCGGTCGCGTGAGTTGCTGGCCGACTCCGCGTGGCTCCGGGGCTAATGGAATATCTTGAGATCCAACCGTT